AGAGCTAAAAAAAGCAATGAAGATATTAGCTAGTGAGACAAATGATAATGGTATCCCTAACACTGCTGATATGCAGATCAACAGTCAAAATTCAAATTTAAATTTGAAAAAAGTTATTCCTGATGCTGAAGTTCTTACACCAGAAAAAACAGAAGTTAAGCTCGGCAACTTTATGAACGATAAAATCAAACGAGGTCGCGAAAATAAAAAAAGAGATATGCAGGATGCTGACAAAATGGAACTCAAAGATATAAAGGCGAAAGATGTAATCAATCGTGTTGATGATAAAGTCAAGTTGAAATCTAACAAACTATCAAATATTCTGTTGAAGCGTGATGGATACAGTGAGAAGATTAACAAAGTAAAAAGTGAAAACCATTTTCAGGTAAATATGCTCATTAATGTGTAATAGTTAAAGATTAATATGCAATAGTTTCATATCCTATTGTACTTGAATGAATTATTACATGTATTCTTGATGAGAATAAAACGCTAGATACTAAAATATCCCCAATTCATTAATTTAAAACTGAACTGAGCTGAAATACTATGTTTCTAACAACCTTAATATAGTTTAAGAAACATTGGCTAATACTGCGTTATCTCAAATGAGGAGGAATGAAAAATCCTGAATTTGTCAAAAAAATTGGAAATTAAATATCTGTTACTGTAACATTTCTGTGTCACAATTTATCCCCACCAAATGTAAATAAAATTTGGCTACTGGCAAAGGCTTACCGGAAACCCATACTGAACATCATAAAGTATACATGATATTGTATTTTCGCTCCCAGAAGTGGTTTTAAAATGTTGTGAAAAAAGATAATATATTGATGGATGTTGTCTACTGCAGTATATCATTACATTCATTGTAGTGGTGCATGAAACAGTGTCAGCTTCACTGCCAATGTATACACGTACAATTTACAAATAACAACTGTCTGCATTGATTAGGACTTTATTAACATCATCTGAATGGTCATTAACAGTAAAATGCCCAAATTTTGTATTTTACTTGCTAGACCTTTCTGATTATCTCACCATTTATGCAATGCCAATCCATATATATTTGATCTGAATGTCATAACCACACACTGGACAGGATTAAACTTAATGTTATGCATGACATTAACTGTGGGTCCATATCTTTTCTAGTGTCAGTCTGTAGTCTTTGTGATGTTATTTTATTTATTTGTGATACATTTGGTGTCATTACATTTGCTATTTTCAAACATTGGAATTTTTATTGACACAGAAGAGCTATGGTTCCTCCCATAGATTTGCGTAACACAAACGCACGACGTCGAATGGCATCACAAATAGTTGATAAAATTACCCCATTTTCGTATAGCAACAGAAACTATTCCCAATCTGTAGTATGTTTATTAAACACTCACCAGAATGAAAACCATGACAAAAGTTATCTGTTTGAAGTTGTTTTTCCCAGGATTTAGCTCGCTAAATCGTACGTAATTCTAATGACATGCATTTTCTTAAGGTTGAACGAGGACAAAATTACTTTGCTAAATGATGCCACTGTATTAGAAATTTCTTCAGAAAGTGGAACGGCTAAAACGCCAGGAAATGGTTGTCTGCTACTATCAGTATTTTGCTATGGACTTCTTAGTATTTACTGTTATTGTTTATTTTTTCTATTCTATCAAAAAACTGTGCAGTATATGCATGGACGTTTGCTTTACGAGGGTATCCAACAAGTTATCTGGAATACCTTCTCCAGTTTCGTCATATTGTCCTTCGTTTGACCTGACGAAAATGACTGCCACTGGAGTTACATGTGGTCTGAAGCAATTAAATCCCAGGAAAATGAACATCAAACTAATCGCTTTTGTCACAGTTTTAGTTTTGGTGAGAGTTTAATAAACATATTTATCAATTGGTGTTAGCTTCAATGGTGTGATGCAAGAAAATATTCTGCTTTTATTGACTTTTATTTGCGATGCCATTTGTCGTCGCACGTTTGTGTTGCACAAGACATTATTGATAGAACCCATAGTTCTTCTGTGTTGTTAAAAATTCTAATATCTGAAAATAACATATTTAATGATACAAAATATACCAGAAATGACTAAAATACCATCACAAAGATTAGAGACAGACACAAGAGAAGCTATGGACCCACAGCTAGCATGACATGTTCACATATCAACAGCCATTATTGTAAACCTTTCACTGAAGGAGCAAAACTCACCAGGTTAATGACATACATAATATGATCAGTAACATTATTACAGTGTAACAACAGCAAGGCACTGTTATCTCCAAATCAGTAGACATTCTCATAATTAGTATCCTTTACAGTGTTTGATTTTTGACAAATCTTCCAATACATTTCTCAGCATGTCTACGAACTAAAATTAATTTTGTGATTTGGTGGACTTTCTTGATTTAGAAATCATCTCAATTCTGTGCCTTGTGAGTGGCAGTAATAGAAATATAAATGTTGTACCAAAATGTTAGCAGGAAAAATAAAGATATTCTGAGAGTTAATTTATTAAGTGTTCTCGGTATTCATGTGCTTAAAAACAAAGTCCCAATATTTGACATTAATTTAGAGGCGTTTACTGGACGTTGGTGAAGACGGTGATATCTCAAGTCAGCGAAAACAACTCAGTAAACTGCTGGAATCATTCTCCCTGGGATACGAATCCCCTGATACTGGTAACCATGACAACAGCCTGGACATAGACACAGTTACAACTATTGACAGTGGCAATGTTAATAATCAAGGTAATATGCAAAGAATCTTTCAGGCATGTTTTTATTTAATTCTTCAATATTTTTTTGTCAGTTTGAATCTCTCAATGGGAAATTAGTAATGTTTCATTTTATTCGAATTTAACAAACGAAATTAACTAAAATTGCATAATACTGTACAAAATGTTGATCAACATTAACTCAATCATGTTTGGTTTCATTTTACAGATGAGTCAACCGAGAGTACAGAAGCTGACCTTGAAGATGACTTACCATTACCGCTTTCTAGTCTACACACACGACAACAAGATGCCTCTAATAATCACCAAGAAGAACTGCTCTATGATGCACAGTGGAAAATATTGCAAAAATATTTCAGAAATAGTGATGCAAATTTTAATCTTTTAACTTACGGTATAAACTTTTTTTTATTTTACCATGATAATATTCTTTACAATAAATTACCTGGTTTTCAAGTAGGGGGTCGACCATTATGAATCATGGGGGGTGGCTGGAAAAAAAAATTGCAAGCTAAATAACAAGGAAAAAAAATGGCATGCAAGTTGTTGCAGTGAAAGTAGATAACACAACAATGTGCAACAATGAATTCTGTTTGATTTATAGGTGGGGAACATCAGAGTTTGCTTGGAGCCAAGGTTGCTCACATGTATCCAAACAGTACGGTGGTGACAGTAATACCACCATTATTACGAATGAGAAAAATCATTGAAAAACACAGGTATTTGAAACAAATCATAAAATTCAACTCATTGAATGACATACATTTTTGTTTCCTTTTACAAAAAATAAACAAACATAACTTTTTCTATATTTTTTTTCAAATATTTTGATGAATACCTAAAGCCAATGTTTAATTTGGTTCAAATTTAAGAAAGAAATTATAGAAAATTACATACAATGTGCAACATTTTTATCAAGACCTGTAACCAATGAAAAATTTTCTTTTTGTTTTAAAAATTAAAATGTGAAAAAGTTTGCACCAAAAGTATGACAGTACAAATTTTAGTGTTCAAAGGGTTGGCTGCAATACAACAATTTAAAAGTGTTGAAAATATACATGTATGTTCATTTAACTTGAAATGGTTCCTTAGTCGTTGGTTGATTCACTTGCTTTTGCTCTTGAGTGTTTTACTCCATTCAATTAATTTAAAAAAATGATTTCATACTTATTTTTCAGAAAGTTACAGCAGTCATTATCATTATACAATAATTTGTTAATTAACCGTCCATTCACATCTGAGACTGTGTATAACATGCACAGAATGCCAGAATTCTTTAGGTTTCAGGTGAGAACTAAGTGTTAGTATGCCATGCAGCTTTCTGACATTGAATCACTTAATCTTGTTTTTCAGTTGATGATGTTTTTATATGATGACCATTTTTTCATCATAATTATTAAGTGAAAATAGCTGAGATTTTCAAAATTTTTTGTTGTTAAAATATAACCACATAAACATGATTAAATCTTACAAAAATATTGTTTCAGCCACAATTGCATGGACAAAGTCACCTCATATAAAGCTATTGTCACATGAAAACTAAGGGTCGAGTAGCCATTTAGTAGAAATCGGTCATGTGGTTTGGGACTAGAAAATTATGAAGCATGATGCACACTATTATGCTACCTTATTAGGAAATGTGAATACCAAATATGGAATGATGCTCGCAATATTTCCAAGACAGTGGACATGTTTGAAAACAAAGTTAGCAAGATAGTTGCACTCAGTTCTGGGCTTCGCACACCAAGTGGTTAAGTCAGAAAGATGTGTACTCAGACAATATATGGTTGCATTATGTATAGTCATAATATATATTGAATAGGTAGCTTTTACCCACAATGCATTGACATATACTCAGTAACATGAACCTGACCTCTCACCTCTCTTGTAATTCCTAGGTTCTTGGCTTGCCAGTATTTAACCAGATCGCATCCATGGGGCACTATTTTTCTCAGTATCTGGGTAGATTACTGTCAATGGCAAAAACAACATTTATTGAAGTCCCATCACCATCTCAGCTTGTTCTTGCTGATATTTTGCTTGGCAATCATACAGAAGTGGAGAAAAATGGACCATCTGTCTACAAGGTGGGTGTAATACATAAGGAATGGTGCTTACTATATTTCCAGAATTGTGTGAAATTAAATTAAATACAGTTAAACCAGTGTTAGTGTTTACCTTTATATTAAGACTACCTGTCTAATGTGACAACCTTTGAATAGTCTGAATGCAATTTACATGTAAAATAACCTGTATATAAAAAGCCACCTGTCTAAAGTGACAAGTGATTGTACTTTCGATTGTAAGTTTGGTCAAATAAAAATGTGTTCAAAGGTCAAAATAATGGAATATGATTACATATGTAGTCTCTAATACATATGTAGTCTCTAAACTTTTTTATTTAATCCATCTTCAATATCTGTTCACAAATTACTTCCTAAGTAAGAAATTATTGTCTTATTT